TCTTACTCAATTGCCCTTGGTGGAGTGCCATGGCCTCACAGCTCACAGCAAACTCAAAACTCCTGGGTTCCTGCCTCAGCCTTCTGAGTAGTGGGGGCTACAGGCACCTGCCACACCACTTGGCTGATTTTTTCTAATTTTAGTAGAGATGGGGTCTTGCTCTTGCTCAGGTTAGTCTTGAACTCCTGAGCTCAAGCAATCCACCCACCTTGACCTCCTAGATTGCTAGGATTACAGGCATGAGCCATCATGTTCAGCCTATACCCACTGTTTAAAAAGTTTTGGAGCTGGGTGGAGTGCAACTAAGGCTGGTGGATCTCTTGAGCACACAAATTCGAGACTGACTAAGCCAGAACAAGACCTCGTGCCAGGCGGTCGTGGGGGGTGCCTGTAGTCCCAGCTACTTGGGAGGCTGAGGCAAGAGACTTGCTTAAGCCCAAGAATTTGAGATTGCTGTGAGTTGTGATGCCATTGCACTTTACTGAGGGCGACAAAGAGAAACTGTCTCAAAAAAAAAAAAAAGTTTTGGGGCTGGCAAGATGAGAGTCATATGTGCCCGGTTTTCAGAAGAGGAAACAGGCCTGACAGTGACTGAGTGGCAATCTGCCCCTGCCCAGTCCGGGCCCCCACACCGGGCCCCACACCAGGTCCCCAGCCCTTTACCTGGGCCGCTGTTGCACTTGGTGGTGTTGCAGCACTGCAGGAAATGAAAGGTGTGGTTGTTGTGGAAGCCAGTGGGGCCTGGACAGCCAGGGAGGGAGCCACAGCCTCGCAAGTGTTGCTCATCCTTTAGACTCTCTATGGGTGGCAGGAGAGAAATGTCAAAGGTTAGACCTTGGAGGAGGGGTTGAAACTGGATTTGCCCACCAGAGCAGCCATTCAGCCATTCTCTGTTTCACCCCTCATCACAGGACCCTCATTTTATTTAGGGCAGTCATATATCTAGCACAAAGACTATATTTTCCTTCCTCCCTAGGTATAGTCATGTGATGAAGTTCTGACCACTGTGATATAAACAGAAGTGCTTTATGAAGACTTTCTGAAAGAGAATTCTTACAAAAAAAAGAAATAGGGGTGCCTCCTTTTTGCCCCCCTTTCCCTTCCTCCTTCCTGGAACTTGAACATGAGGCCTGGAGCTCTGGCAGCCATCTTGGACTATGAGGCAGTTGTGAGAATAGAAGTGGTATGTAAGAAACAAGAAGGCATCTATCTGGGTTCCTGGTAATTCTCAAACTCTCCTAGTGGCACTGCACTTCCTATCACTGAGGTTTTCTTTTCTTTTATTTTTTTTTAAGACACAGAGTCTCACTTTATCACCCTTGGTAGAATGCTGCAGCGTCACAGCTCACAGCAACCTCTAACTCCTGAGCTTAGGCGATTCTCTTGCTTCAGCTTCTCAAGTAGCTGGGACTACAGGTGTCCGCCACGATGACTGGCTATTTTTTTTGCTGCAGTTTGGCTGGGGCCAGGTTCAAACCTGCCACCTTTGATATATGGGGCCAGCATCCTACCCACCTAGCCACAGGCACTGCCCTCACTGAGCTTTTTTGTGTGAGACAACTAACTTTTTTCCCTTGCTTATATCTCTGTTACTTTGGGGTTATCATCAAGAGGAGCCTTGGGGAGAAGCAAAACAGGGAGGAGGAGTTGCTGGCAGGTTGGGGCTCACCTTCTAGGCTCCTGTAGGTCACCACCTCCAGACACTGTTCTCTAGGGCTGCGGCATTGGAGGCTCTGGTCCCGGCCCCTCTCACAGCTCATGTCTGATGAGGCGCAGGAAATACATTCAAGGTAACGACTTTGGGGAAAGGAGGGAGCACGGACTGTTTGAAGAGAGACAGAAGGGTTAGACTCCATGGGGAGAATCCTTGAATTACAGTCCCTGAGGACTCATCTCAGCATCAATTTTTCCTTATTCTACCCTGTATCCAATTACGAAGTCTTGCTCATTTTGGCTCCCAATTCTTTCTAGAATCCATCCCTTCCTTTCCAGCCCCATGCTCCGGTCCAGCTTAGACCTCCTTCAACACCAGTTACTTCTCTGGCCTCCTGGTTTTTATTCTTACCACCCCACTCAACCCAGTGCATTCCCACATGACTCCTAAAGGATGTTTCTAAAATTCCTATTTCTCCTCTGCTCAAAATCCTTGTATGTTTCCCTACTGCTTCAAAATAAAATCCAAGACCCTCAATGTGGCATTCAAGGCCCATCAAAGACTGGTTCCAGCTACTTCTCTTTCCTCATCTCCCCTAGCCCCTCAGACTCTACCCCACATTGACCTCCCATAGCCCATGGATATATACACTGCCTGGCACTCAGACCTTGCATATGCCATTGCCTTTGCCTAGAACACCTTCCTCCTATTCCCTATTTCCCTAAGTCTTTCTCATTCTTTAGGTATCATCTCCAATTTTGCCTCCTCGCTGATGCAACAGGCTTGATCAGGTGCCCCTTCGGAGCTGCCACAGGTTCCTGGACTCCCCCATTTCAGTCCTGTCTCCTCTGGGTCATCACTGTGTGGTGAGAAGCCTGTCTCCTCCACCAAACTGTGAGCCCCAGGAGGGCAAAGCCAGCCCAGAGAAGATAGTCAAGAAATAATTGTTAAATGAATGAATAAACAATTACTTAAAACCTTCCAATTGTTCTCTGGAATAGGCAGTCTCCAAGAGTCCCCAGTGATCTCTACTTCCTAGTATTCATACCCTTGTGCAATCTCTTCCCCCAAAAGAAGAAGACTGACCTACATAGCCAACATGATACTGCGAAAATGACAGTGTGCCTTCTGTGGCCAGACCATAGAAGACAGCAATTTCTGCCTGGCTCTCTCTCTCAGATCACTTGCTCTGGAGGAAGCCAGAAACCATATTGTAAGGACACTCAGCAACACCATGCAGTGAGATCTGGTAAGGAATTGAGGCCTTTGCCAAAGCCATGGGAGGAGATCATCCATCTGAGTGAAGCCTTAGGAGCCTTCAGATGACTGTACCCCCAGCTAACATCTTGGTTGTTGTTTCATGAAGGATCCTGAGCCTGAGTCAGAACCACCTAGCTAAGCTGCTCCAGGATTCATGGCCTTCAGGAACTTTGGGAAATAATATATCTTTATTTTTGTTTTAGGTTTTGGGGTAATCTGTAATGTAGCAGGAGATAACTGATATGCCACCTAACTGTCTCAGGGATCAAAGGCTCATTTGATTGATTTGTGATAACTTTGCCTTTTGCACACTTCCACCTTCCACTCTTAGCCAATTGGATCAATTACTTTTCCCTGGAAACACCAAAGTCATTCCTCTGCCCAGGCCTTGGCTCACACCATTTCCCATGCTTGGCATGCCCTCTCCTTCTTAACCTAAGATATCCAAGTTGAGTCTGGGCCAAGTCTTAAGGAAGTGAGAGGACTGTCTCAGCCAAGGCTATGAACTGGCAGACTGCTAGGTGAATCATTTACATCCAAAGTCAAATCATCCCTCTCAAAGAAAAATAAGTACAAGGCCAATAACCCCAGTATTCTCACACAAACTTCCATGAAAGTGAAAATATGAATTGCATCATTGTCAAAGCAGCTCTCTCACACCATTCATGGGTCTTCTTTGTGAACCCTTCTTCTTATGCTGCTCTTCTAAATGTTGGTATTCCTTGGCACTGTGTCTTAGGCCCTTATCATCTATCATAGTATAGACTTTCTCCTATGGGGATTTTATCTGCTGACATGGTTCCATTTCCCCTGTCTTCTGGTCACTCCCAAATCTCTCTCCAGTTCGGAATTGTCTCTGAGCTCCAGACCTGTACACCCAACTGCCTCTTGGATGGCTGCCAGCTATACCTCAACACCAGCCCCAAACTAAATTCTATATCCTTCCAGAGCTGCTCCTTCTCCTTCTGAATTCCATATATCAGAGGTAGCCCCATCCAAGGTAGAAATCTGGCAGAACCCTAGATATCTATACATGAGTCTGAAAATGTCTACTGTCCTGTCTTTTAGTTCTTTAACCCTCCTGCTCTGCTATTTCTAATCTCTGTTAAGCACATCTGTTGAGTTCTTCATTTGAGGCATTGTTCTATATTTGCTGTTTGACTGTTTTAAAAAATGAATTCCAGATGTTGAATCTTTTCTACTGTTTTCTTGAATATACTGATCATAGCAATTTCAAAGTTCCCTGTCTAAGAATCCAATGTCTGAGTCACTATGACTCTGTTTCTATTGTTGGATTTTTCTTGGGGTTTCTGATCAACTCATCCTTTTTATTTTGTTTTGTTTTTTGCAGTGTTTTTTTTTTTTTTTTTTGGCCAGGGCCGGGTTTGAACCCTCCATCTCTGGTATATGGGGCCAGCGCCGTACTCCTTTGAGCCACAGGCACTGCCCACAACTGGTCCTTTTTATTTTCTCCAGGATACCTTGTAAGTTGCTGTTGTTGTTTTTATGAGATGGAGTCTTGCCAAATTGCCCAGGGTGGAGTGCAGTGGTTATTCACAGGCTCAATCCCACTGCTGATTAGCATAAGAGTTTTGACCTGCTCCGTTTCTTTCTTTCTTTCTTTTTTTTTTTTTCAGACAGAGTCTCACTCGGTTACCCTGGGTAGAGTGCTGTGACATCTTAGCTGACAGCAACCTCAAACTCCTGAGCTCAAGTGATTCTCTTGCCTCAGCCTCCTGAGAAGCTGGGATTACAGGCATTCGCTCTTGCTCAGGCCAGTCTCAAACTCATGAGCTCAGGCAATCTGCTGGCCTCAGCCTCCCAAGTGCTGGGATTACAGGTGTGAGCCACTGCACCCAGCTGACCCGCTCCATTTCTGATGTGGGCTGGTTCACCCCTCTTTAGGCAATCTGGTGGTCCCTCACTCTCAGAAGCTCACCATATTGATGCCAAACTTAGAGCACTCACATGGCATATCACATTACAGCCCAGAATTCCAGGTTCAAGCAATCTTCCTGCTTCAGCTTCCTGTATACCTGGAAATACAGGTGTATACCACTGTGCCTAGCTGTCTTGTAAGTTTTGATCAAATGCCAGACATTACAGATGAAAATAAGTAAAGCCTTGGCAGGGCCTATGGCTTAGTGAGTAGGGCGCTAGACCCATATGCCAAGGGTGGTGGGTTTGAACTTGGCCCCAGCCAAACTGCAATAAAAAGTAGCCAGGTGTTGTGGTGGACGCCTATAGTCCCAGCTACTCGGGAGGCTGAGACAAGAGAATCACCTAAGCCCAGGAGCTGGAGGTTGCTTTGAGCTGTGACACCACAGACTCTATCAAGGGTGAAAAAAAAGAAAGAAAAGAAAAAAGAAAACCCTCAAATTATGTTACCTTCTTTCAAAGAATATTAGGTCTTCTTCCTTCCTTTTTTTTTTTTTTGCGGTTTTTGGCTGGGGCTGGGTTTGAACCTAACACTTCCAGCAAATGGGGTTGGTGCCCTAATCCTTTGAGCCACAGGCACCACCCAAGGTCTTCTTCCTTTCAAGGACTGGACTTAGGCTTGTTTAGGGCTGACCTATTTCAGTTTTGCCCTCACTCCTAGGGTGTGTTCTGAGGGCAAAGCCTGAGGTGCTTCCCAAGGCTTCTTCAGCTTAGCAACCTCTGTCCCCCCAACGTCACATGCCTGCTGGAAGCCTTGCTTGGTTCTGCAGCTTCCCAGCTACTATTTTTTTCTGCTGGAGTCTCTTGGACTCTCAGTGCATGCACAGCTTGCCAGTGACTTCAGGGAAATTTATTTGCAGATTGGGGACTCCCTTTTCTGTGGTCCCATCCATTCCAGGATTTTAATTCTTCCAGACATTCTGGCAGCCCCAGACTCCAACCTCCGTCTTCTCAGTCTAGCAACTCTCTTTCTGTCTGGGCTCTATTTCCTCTTCACAGCAGCAAATTGGAAAGTGCACTCAAGGAAAAAGCCAGGTTGTGTTCTACGCTTCTCTTATTTCAAAGATTCTAGCACCTCAAGTTCCTCCCTTCACTTGCTGCTCTCCAGTGACTTCAAGTAATTGTTTACTATTTGCCCAGTGTTTGTAGCTATCATTGGCAGAAGGGAGAGTCTAATATAAGTGACTTCACTATGACCAATACCGTAGGTCTCCTTCCCACATCTAATCTATCACTTAGGCCTGTTCATCCACCTGCCAAATAGCTCTCAGATCAACCATTTCTCTCCCTCAGAGTGCCTGACACCCTGGTCGGGCCATCCTCTTTTCCACCTAGACAACCTCACCTACCTCCAACGTTTCCCCTCAACTACTCTTGCTTCCCCTCAATCTGTCTTCTGTCATGAGGTCAGAATAATTTGTTACAAATACAAATATGATCACGACATGTCCCACTAAAAAATCTTTTGTGACATCGCAGTGCTCTCAGGAAGAAGTCTCTGTATTGGTTCCTCGCCATGGCCTAGAAGGCCCCATGTAGCATGACCTGCCATGGCTCATCTTGACCCACTGTTTTCTTCTTCCAGCCACACTACTTTTGCCCATTTTGGGGCCTTTATATCTCTTGCTTCCTCTGTTGGAAAACCCTTTCTACAGATTTTTTTCTTTTTTTTGAGACAGAGTCTCACTTTGTCACCCTTGGTAGACTGCCATGGGGTCACAGCTCACAGCAACCTCAAACTCTTGGGCTTAAGTGATTCTCTTGCCTCAGCCTCCCAAGTAGCTGGGACTACAGGTGCCTGCCACAGCACCTGCCTATGTTTTGGTTGTAGTTATCATGGTTGTTTGGCAGGCCTAGGCTGGATTCCAACCCGCCAGCTCTGGTGTATGTGGCTGGTGCCCTAGCTGCTGAGCTACAGGTGTCGAGCCATGTCTACAGCTTTTTAACAGTCTGACTCCTACTCA